GTATCCTTGTCTTCAACCATTTATCCCTACAAGCACCAAATGATTACTTGTAGAAACCTTCACCACTTTAACTCTTCACTTCTCTATTCTGTTACTGACCACCTGTATGACAAAATCTCTCCCCTTTCCTGTCCTAACCTGGCCACCTCGGTCTACAACAGTTCACTCATCCTCACTGAACGCACTTGTTCCTCTAAACTACACAAAGAATCAGGCCTTGACCGTTACAACCCTGGCAAACTGACACCAGATATCTCTAGAGACGTTGTCGTGCTCTCGAACGACTGTGGCATAAAACCAAACCCCGTGCAGAACTTCACCCTATATAAATCTGCCCTCCTAAAATACCATTCCTTCCTCCATGCTGCCAAACAAACCTACTTTGTCTTTCTTATTAATACCTTCTCATCCAGTCCTCTTTAGCCCTTCGCTACCTTTGTCCCCCAGCTCTTTTACCCACTAACTCACTCACTGCCCAAGAGATTGCCAATCACTTCAAAGACAAGACTGATGCAATACGTGAGGACACATCCACTATACAGACATCTTCCCTACTTAACATACTTTATCCAACAGCAAAGTCAACACTTTGCTCTTTTGACCTGGCTACTACTGAAGAGGTTACCAAACTGTTCTCAGATGCCCACCTAACCAAATATCCCCTGGATCCTAATCCCTCACACTACTACGGTCACCCTCTTCTTCTGTCCTATGCTCTCTCGCTCACATCTTCAATCTCTCCCTCTCTACTGGCACCTTCCACTCCCCCCTAAAGCATGCACAGATTACTCCCATACTTAAAAAAACAACTCACTGGACACCACCAACCTGAACAACTTAAGACCCATCTTCCTGCTCCCATTTACCTCTAAACTCTTAGAATGCTTAGTCTACATATGTCTGAGCTCCTACCTCAGTGAAAACAACCTTCTTGACCCCTTTCAGTCTTGCTTTCGCTCGCTACACTCCACAGAAAACTGCCCTATTGAAACTCACCAACGATTTACTAACAGCTAAAACCAATGGCCACTACTCCAAACTCTTACTTCTAGACCTCCCTATGGCCTTTGATACTGTTGACCACCTTCTCCTTCTCAATAACTCCACTGCCTTGGTTTCCAAGATTCATCTCCATCTTGGTTCGCTTCCTGTCACAGCGCTCCATCAGTGTTACCTATAACTCTGTCTCTTCCTCTTTCTGTAGGGGTCCCCCAATGCTCTGTTCTTGGACCCCTTCTCTATCTACACCCCTTCTCTTGGTCACCTGATAACCTCACATGGCTTCAAATACCACCTCTATGCCGATGACACTCAAATCTCTCTCTCTCTACTCACCTAACTCCTTAAGTCTACTCTCGCATTACGAACTTACTGACATATCAGCACGGATGTAGGGCCACTTTCTTAAACGAAATCTCTCTAAAACCGAGCTGATATTTCCTCCCCCTCGTGGCCTCCTACATGACTTTTCCATCAAGATCAATAATACAACTATCAGTCTCTCCCCTCAAGCCAGGGTACTAGGTGTAATCCTAAACTCTGACCTATCCTTTCAGCCCCAAATCCAATCACTGTCAAAAGCTTGTAGACGTCACCTCTAAAATTCACCACTTTTTAACCAATTAAACCACCAACCTACTCATTCACTCCCTTATCTCTCACATTGACTATTGCAACTCCCTTATCATAGGCCTACCTCTCCGTAGGCTATCCCCTCTCCAGTCTATTATGAATGCTGCTGTCAGGATCATCTACCTTACCAACTGCTCAGGGTCTGCCACCCCTCTCTGCAAATCCCTCCACTGGCTTCGGATTGCCCAACAAATTAAAAATACGAACATACAAAGCCATCCACAACTCTGCCCCGAGCTACATCACCAATGTTGTCTCCAAGTATCACCAAAACCGTCCTCTCCACTCTTCTCATTACCTCCAGCTCTCAAGCTTCCTCATTTCCTCCTTCCATGCTCGTCTGCAGGACATTGCCAGAGCCTCTCCCTTCCTCTGGAACTCTCTACCTCAATCTGTCTGGCATCACAGCAATGGGCAAACTACGGCCCGGCGGACCTTTTAATCTGGCCCGCGGAGCGTGGCAAACATTGCCCGTCAGGATGTGTGTAGGCGGGGCAGCAGGGGAGCTAGGCTCCTCTCACAGTCCGCCCTGAAGACCGGAACGGCGCGGGAACACGGCGAGAGGAACGCGCGGAGCAAAGGTAAGTGAATTGACACAATATGGGGAATGAATTACTATAGGGGGGATGAATTACTATAGGAGGGATGAATTACTATGGGGGGGATGAATTACTATAGGGGGATGAATTACTATGGGGGGGATAATTTACTATGCTTACTATGGGGGAATATTACTATACTTACTATGGATGACACATACACATCATTCATCTACTCTTGGTCCGGCCCCCGGGTCCAATATATGAACCCATTGCGGCCCTCAAGTCAAAAAGTTTGCCCACCCCTGGGCTATCCCCTGCTCTGGCTGCCTTTAGGCCATCCCTGAAAACTCATCTCTTCAGAGAAGCCTATCATGCCTCCGAATAGACATCACTTCCATCAGCTCAACCCCAAGTTATAACCTTTTGTACCACTTGCCCACCCTGTTAGATTATTAACTCTTATGAATAGGACCCTCTTAATCCTTGTTTTGATTGTGGTGTAGCTGTATTGTATCCCTTTATATTGTAAAGCGTTGTGCAAACTGTTGGCACTAAATAAGTCCTGTATAATAATATTAATATTATTAGGGTACCAATCCAGAAGCTGTGGCATTAAAGTAGCAGGCACACAGATTAAAAAAAAATGTAAATAAAGATTCCTCGGAAGAAAAAAAAAATCCATCACTTAAGGACTCTAGCAAAAAATTGTGGATAACTGTCAGTGGGAAGGGTTATATGGTGTACTAATGGTTCTGCAGTGTCCAGCCACCTGAAGGCAGCCAGCAGCATGTTACCCAGTCATGTAAGACTATGTTCTGTCCTGCACAATCAAGAAATTACATTTGTTTTTAGAAAAATAGTAATTTTAGATGCTTTACATGCTCAGGTTTTTAGTTCTGTAATTTTATTATATATTTCCTCACTTTCTGTCCGTTTGATAGTCTTGAAAGGTATAGGGTGACATATCTGTCACAAAACAGACAATAAAATACAGTGGAACATTCTACTCTCTCACACCTTACAGAAAGGCCTCATTCATGAGTGCCAATACTTGTGCGCCCTGTGAAGGATCATGTTTTGTCAGCACAGGTGTTGCCCAGTGCCAGCAGTCCCGTAATGTCTATTGGAAAACATGGCTGCACGGACACAGGCGCTGGGTCCCACTGTGACATCCATGTGGGTGAACGGCCCCCAAATGCACTCAAAGTGAATTTGGGAACACATACTCAAACTAGGGTTGCCACCTCATCCCTTTAAAACAGAACACATTAATTACACAAGTGCTGTGGCTGATTAAGGCGATAATGAAGCTCACTTCGTGCCTCATCTGTGTTAACCCCTTGGCGCTGGTGCCTCCTGGCCCTTTAAGGGTTTCAGAAACCGGGAGGCGCGCAGGGTTTTAGGGTCATGCGACCGCCATCACGATTGGGAAAGGTCCCGATCGAAAGAGGTCGGTACCTTTCCGTGAGTACCAGACGTGTGCCAGGAGAGCGCTCTCAGCACTTATGCTTTTTCTAACTGCACACAAATGTGCGGCCACTCGGCGTCAAGACACAGATGCCGGGAGGCCGCACATTTGCGTGCGGCCGGCACAAAGAGGTTAAATTAGCCTCAGAACCTACAGAATTAATGTGTTCGGGATGAGGTGGAAACCCAAATATATCAAAATTGGGATAAGTAGTGTATCTGCAGCCAAATGTCCCAATAGTCATCTATGGGACTGATGGCATCAGGATGCACACAAGACCTGCAGAGGCGTCCCAAGGTTAGGTGTCACCCGGAGTGGTAACACCTGGCGACACCCCCTCCGACGATCCCCGCAGAATGGATCACATCTGCAGATTGAGCATAATGGATCGGACTCTGATCCATTATGCTCAAGCCGAAGATCTGATGCATCCTGCGGGGATCATCGGCTTTCTTTACAACTTACCTTTACTTGAAACGGGTCCGGTGTCACCCTGTGTGGACTGCACCCCCCCGCGGGATGATACTGGACCTGCGCATCCCCATTGTGGGAAAACAGGGCCCATCATGGAAAATGCCGGCATTCACCTGTGTAAATGAAGGCAAAAAGAGTTTTGGTTTTTATTTCTGGGTCCATGTTAGAGAGATTTCCCTCACTTCCTGGGTGCTGTCTTCTCCATAGGTGCACAGACAGCACTAGAAATCTGCCATAGGCTGTAACTAAGTATGTTGGTTGAATGGAGCCAGTCAGAACTCCTCTCCCGCTCAGTCCTCATCCTCTGCTATAGTTAGCACAAAGCGCCATTCTCCTCACACGTTAGGACAGTTTACCCGCCAGTTTCAGTCATCGTCTCACGGCGGACGCATTGGCTGCTGTGTCTGTCACTCAACCAATCCCGCCTGAGCTCAGTCATTCCAGGCCGGCTCGTCAGTCAGTGTGAGTGACGTGTCACCCAACCAATCCCATCTGAGAGACGCACAGCGTTAGCGGTTCCCGGGGCCACGCCGTGAAGCCGAACTATAGTAGGCCTTTGCTATCCTGATCCCGCCTCTATTACGGGACTGTACGTGAAGCAGGCTGAGCACGGCGCCTCCCTCCCTTCTAGGCCTCGCTCTCCTGCAGATCGCAGACTTGGCACACATCGGGTAAACGACGGCTGTCGGTGCTGGGCGGGGACACCCGGGGGCGCTCACGTACACAGGGAAGGCGGATTCCCGACACAGACTTGTGCGCGCCCCCGCCTCCCTTCCCAGCCGCCGCCGCTATTGCTGCAACGACCCGGGCGCGTGGCTCTAGGCGGATAGGAGGGTGCACCGGGCACCGAGGACTTCACCGGCCTCTTCACCCGAGACGGCAAAATGGCGAGCGCCTCGTACCACATCTCCAACCTGCTGGAGAAGATGACGTCCAGCGATAAGGACTTCAGGTGAGCGGGCTGCTCGCTGCAGGCTTTCCTGTAGCACGGCCATGAGGGCGGGCCGGTTGCGGCTCATGCTCTGACTGGAAAGCCTGGTGAGGCCTAACTGTCACTTGGGAGGCGCTAGGCCGCGGCTCGGGGACGTGTGCTGAGTGCGGTGTCACTGTGAATGGGCCCAACCGGTCTATTCTGCAGTATTGGGCCTGCCTTTGGACATTGGGCTCTGGCTGCTGCTGACCACAGCGGATCTGCAGATGGCTTCCAGCGGCCGGCCACAGATCATTGTGTCCCTGCACAGGTGTATACCCAGACACCGGACAGTGCAGCTGATGAGCCGGGGACAATTGTCTGTCAGATGTCAGCGGACGGGTCTAGCATGGTATATATTAATGGCTGGTGCTGGAGATCTCAGGACACTTGTGTGATCTAAGAGTTCTATGGAGGCATAAGACTGGAAAAAAACACAACAGTCAGTTTTGTGGCTATCATAAACTGTTAGGCTATATGCTCCTTTTGATATCTTATTTTTTTTTTTTTTTTTTGTGCATTTAAGCTGTGCTCACGTCAGCGATTTAGGCAGGTGCAAACTGTAGCAGCAGGAATTGTCTGATTACTGGTGCGGCCGCTGGTCTCATTCACTATTATGACATGTCACCAGCGGCTACAGGTATCTGCAGCTGTCCGCACAGTCAGCGATTACTTGTGGTGATCGCTGGCTGTTCGGAGAGCCGCGAATAGCTGCAGGTACAAGCAACCTGTCACAGTGAACAGGACCAGTAGTCACAGCAGCAATTAAAAGATTCCTGCCACTACAATTTGCGGTGGTCCAAATCGCCGGTGTGAATGTAGCCTTCTAAATGCTTTTCCTCTTTGCTTTTCCTTAATGCTGTGACCTGGAAAGTGACATGTATGACATCACTTCCTGGTCACCGCTGTCACTTTCCCCAGCTAGAATAGCCAGGGAGAGATGTATCACCTACTCTGCCCACTTTTAGGCAATCTCTGAAAGCCTATTTCTTCAGGGAAGCCTATCCCACCTTCAGCTAACAACCGAATCTTCTATTCCTCCTATCAGTTCATCTCCCCCAGTTATTACCTTTTGTGCCACCAGCCCCTCTCTCTTAGATTGTAAGCTCCGAGGAGCAGGCCCTCCTAACCCTCTTGTATTGAACTGTATCATTGCTGTATTGTCTCTCTTTACATTGTAAAGTGCTGAGCAAACTGTTGGCGCTATATAAATCCTGTATAATAATATTGCAATGCATTACATCCAGTGGAGCCCAGAGAAGACATGCAGGGTCTTTTAGAGAACCTGTCGCCCAAAAATCATCACATAGGGGACTTTGTGTCCCCTACGGGATATGGGGAAAAAGTTAAGTAAATCATTTTTATACCCAAGCAGATAACACCCCCCCCCAATTTGAGGTGATACACATGATACATATTGCTGCACATGCCAGAGTGAGAGCAATAACTCTTGCAAAAGTAACACTCAACTGATGACCTGTAGGGGCGTTTGAAGCATCCCCTATAGAAAATATAGGGTACTGAAGTTTGTCGCCATTTCTCAGGCGCCTGCAAATTTAAGGTTTGATATGTTGGGTATCTATTTACTCAATGCAACCTTGTTGTTTATATTTTACTGCATTTGTTTGCTTTAAATTTCACTTTATTGCATTTGTTAGACATTTTGCATTTCCTAGATCATGCGGTAATATGTGACAAAAAAATTGGAACTTCATTATTTAATTCCCTAGGGTGTCTGCTTTCAGAAAATATGTTTGGGGGTTTTGCATAATCTTCAGGGTTTTTTTTTTTTTTTTCATAACACGCTGTGACCAGAGTAATATTTGTAACGTACTACTCTAGGGAAGTGATCAGTATTTTTTTTTTTTTTTTTTTTACACACACATGATTGCTTATAGCTTGGCCACAGCTAATGACATACACAGGCTGTGATTGGCCCAGTCTGTACCATGTGATCACTGTGACCAATTACAGCTAGCAACACAATTGTAAACAATAAAGGGAATGAAAGTAAGCCGTACATTGTTTACGATTGTAATGTGACCTGCTGTGATTGGTCACAGGGTACCGGCAACGGGCTGGCACATAATCAGTCATCTGCTGTGTCCGATAGACACAGCCGGTGGCAGATTTTGCCGCAATGTGACGACGACGATCTTGTAGGGTGCCGTATGATGTCCACCTGGATTGATGAAAGTCACGTTTGGCTTGTCATTTTATTATAGGTCTGGCGTGATCTGGTTACAGTTGAATTCCAGGCTTAATACTAACCTTAAAACTGTCTCCTCCCTCCTCCTAACATATTCTGACTAACCTGTACAAGAAAGATACATATACTTACCTATTTTCAGCCCACTCTGGTCACTTGATCCCACCCAGTGTGTTAGCCAGTGCAGCTGCAGGGGAGAGAAGGGTGTGCCAGTAACAGAAGCCTGTTGGTGACATCGCTACAGGCTTTACCGACTATTGTCAGCGCTCTTCCTCTCCCCTGTGTTGCCAATAACAGACACAGGGTAGATCAAATGACTGAATTGAGCACACAGGTTACAAAGCATAGGTGTTAGGAGGGAGAAAGGGACAGTGTTAAGGTATAAGTTCACCTTTTAGAAAAAAATGAATGCATATTTTTTTTGCAGGTAAAAAAAAATGTGCAGTTATTTTTGTCTGTAGAAGACTGTAAAGCATTGCACCAGTGATCAGCAGATCGCTGGTGTAATGCAGGTCTCCTGCAGAGTTGTCAGTATATCTGCTTACCCCCCCCATTTCTTGCAGCCAGTGGGTTGAATGAAGGAAAAAAAATGCTTGCATCCACACAAGGATGGAAAAATCAGCCCTGTTGGGACATTGTATTCTGACAGTGGGGTTTGATCAGAGATTTTAGCTGCTGATTGACAGTTTTCCAACTTGTCGGTTCAACAGAAGTTGATCTAATGATTGACTTCTGAAGACCAGGGACAGCCACATCTTGATCGAAATAATACAGAATTTCTGTCTGTGGCCAGCTTTAGAAAATCTAAAGCTGATGTTTTGCAAAAAAATAATTCCCTACAGCCTTGGCCACATAACTTACCTGCAATGTATGCCCCATATTTTGCAAGCAGCTGTATCCTGGAGAAATCTTTACTGCAGTGATGCCCAGTCCTTTTCCTGGCTCTGAGCTTCAGGTGCTGCAACACTTAAAGGATAAGTTCACCTTTTGGACAAAAATAATGAATGGACATTTTTTTTTGCAGGTTAAAAAAAAATGTGCATTTATTATTTTTCTCCAAAGTAACCTGTAAAGAAAGCATTGCACCAGCAATCAGTAGATCGCTGATACCATGCAGGTCTCCTGTAGACCTGTCCAGAATATCTGCTTGCCGTACGAGCAAGAAGATATACTGACAGGAAGCTTCAATGAACTACTACGATGTTTCACAGCGCTGTGGTAGTTAATTGAAAAATGCAAGCCCACAGCCGCTAAGGCTGTTGGGACTTGTAGGCACTCATTCACAGAATACTGTTAATGAGTGACGCAGCCGCGTGGGCGGAGCACTGTTTTCAAATCTGACAGATGGTATGGGGAGAGGTTCCCCATACTATTTGTCAGAAGGGGGTGGGGGCGTTGTAACATGTTCCAAAGGTGAACGTATCCTTTAACAATTGCGGTTCTTTAGGCACAACAGTAGTATAGATGGTCTGATGGGGATATGCCCCCTTTTTACTTCTCCACTGAGAAAAGTTCTTTCATTGTTTACGCTACTTGTAACAAGATCTGTGCATGGGGGATATTTGGAAGAATGACAGGATCCTCTCCATCTTTCAGGCAGTGTGTTACATTCGGTGTAAACAGTGAATGAAAGAATGTTTGTAAGTGGAGGAGGAGGGGGCATGTCCCCATTTGGACCATCATTGCTGCTCTTCTGTCCCTAGACCCAAAGCTTGTTACCCGATTTTATTATTTTTCCCCTGACCTATCCCACAGATGCAAAAAATATACAAGATCCAATGGCCATGGTTTTAGCGATTTACATCCAGTGTTTCGTCCTGTGCATTAGTGCCCCAGTGACTTCTGTGGGACTGTGTTCAATTCTCAGGCCTGGGGACAAGGGCCCTGTACAAGCCTGTTGGTCTTTAATGCGCAGGTGAGGCTAGGACAGTGAAGACTTGCAGTACAGGATGAAAGCAAATAGCAGAAACATTGTTCGGTCTTTATAAGTTTTCACTTGTAGAGGGGGAGTATGGCTTAAGATAGGTCAGAGGAAAAGTGATAAATACACTTTGTTTTAACCCTTTTGCTGCCATAACTGTTTGGTTTTTGCACATGTTTAACCACTTCAATACAGAGCACTTTTACCCCCTTCCTGCCCAGGTCAATTTTCAACTTTTGTGCGGTCATGCAACACTGTACCCAAACTAAATTTTTATTTTTTGCACATTCACACAACTAGAGATTTCTTTTGGTGGTGTTTAATCACCACTCTGTTTTTTATTTTCTGCTAAATAAGCATAAAAAAGACAAACGTTTGAAAAAAAGTTTTTCTTTGTTTCTGTTATAAAATTTAGCAAATAATGTAGGCCAAAAATCCACTGTGCTGCATTTCTTTGATGAAAATAACCACATTAGTGTATATTATTTATAACATATAAATGGGTGCAGCGCTAAAACATATATATCACTTTCATAATGTCCATAAAAAATGTGCAAGGTGTCAATAAATAATCTAAGTAAAGGTGACAGTAGAATCCAACTGATGGTGCTCCAAAAAAGTGTGGTAGAATTACGCACTCACCAGATGCATAACGTAAATACGCATTGTGTAAATATGTAGAGGTCCCCTCAAGGTACTGGAAATGATCCCACTCCGGGAATGGTCCTCCCTCTAGGGTATGGTGGTGCTGTCAGGAATTCTCAAATACTGTAAAAAAAAAAAAAAAAGGAAAGGATGAAAAACGGATGTAAACGGACATAGTCCAAATAGTAAATGGCGAGTGCTATATGG